TTATTATTATTATTATTATTATTATTATTATTATTATTATTATTATCTTTTGGATAAGAATGCATTAACAGAATTTAAAACAAGTGCCCATGCTCATGACAATCGTGCTTTCACTTTATAAATTATAGTTTAGATCATTATTTTTCATACTTGGCAACTTTGTGTGCATTTCAACTCCCAGATTTCCCAGCCGGCATGGGAGTTGAAGTTCAGATAACATGGGGTTACCAAATTTAAAAATAATGGTCTAGAATCCTCTTGGTTAATTTGGTACCAAATTCTGCTGCACTGCTTGCTACCAGGTGTCATCCAGTTCTAACAGTGGTAATATTTGGAAAGAGTATTTAAATATATATAGTTTTCATTTCACACTTTTATTTTATTTTTTAATGTTTTCTTTCTGGCTTCATCTTCTGTTTGAATTCTGTAGTCCTCTAAAAGCTAAAGTGGAAAGCTGGAGTAGCATTTTCTGAATTAGGAATATCAGAGTTTAAGTTTTGAGGATATTTTTCCTACTCTCTATATATTTTAAAAGAAAATACACAGAAACCAAAAGTGTGCTGTTCCTTGTCAGGCTGAAAGATGACATCGGTAAGGTGGTGACAAAAACGTAGGTGGATGTGGTTTAATTTAATGTGAATGATGAAGTAAAATGAGTTAGCATGTATATGTATGTATTGTGTGTGTGTATGTGTATATACATGCTACCTCTTATTTACAGCTCATTGTCATCTTTGGAAGGGGTCTTATGGATAACCCATAGTTACACGTAGTTTTGGGGGCTGTGATCTCTAGTTTAAAACCCTTGTTGGCAGTGAATGCTGGGTCTGCAAATTGTAATCTCATATTGCTGTGCAATTTTAATTTTTTTTGTTTGGAAAACTCTGCATGGAAGCAAAGGAGCCTACATTGTAGTAGTGGGATTCAATTTTTTTTACTACCGGTTCTGTGGGCATGGCTTGGTGGGCATGGCAGGGGAAAGACTCCATAAAAACTCCAGTCAGAGGTGGCATTTGCCGGTTCTCCAAATTACTTAAAATTTCCGCTACTGGTTCTCCAGAACTGTTCAGAACCTACTGAATGCCACCTCTGCTACATTGTTCAGAGTGGCCTGTTTGGACATTTATTTTCTGCCCAGTTGCTGCCTTTGTTCATTTTCTATGCAACCTATTTTTGATCTTTTTCAAAAGAAAGAAAGAAAAAAAGAACGTTGATAGAATTGGGCTGCTTTTTCCCCCTTTTCAGCTCCCTTTTCAGCTCCAAAGGAGCAACAAGAAGAGGTTCCTCCCAAGACTGGTAAGTGTCTCCCCAAAACATCTATTATTCATTTTGAGAATAATTTGTATTTCTATACTTTTTGAATCCACAGATTCTTACTGGTATCAGTGAGCTATCAGACTGGCTGTTCATTTGGTATATTATTGCTCTTCAGTCACTAAGCTGCTAAAGACATCTTAGTTTTAATTTCCATTGAAAGCAGAGGCATTTTGATCATTGCTGGTAGATTCTCTGTTTTTTCATTGTATAAAGGCTTTGCTGCATTTTTTTTAGCGCTGTAATGTCTATATATGGCTCTCTTTTAAGTTTTGGCTTCTATTTCAGCATATCACTTTTGCCAATTCATTGTGGAAATGTAACTTTTAGAGAGGACAGTCATTCTGATTGAACCTAAAGCTATGAGATATGATTGCACAGCTGGTCTGCAGCTATTCCTCATTTACTGACCACAGTTGATTCTGATGACTGTCATTAAGCAGGGCAGTTGCTGAGTGAAAATCACATGACTGTGCTCATGATTTTACTTTAGCTTTCCTAAATTACAAGAGAATAGGCACATAACGGGAATACACATTGAAAGCAATGCAGTAGCACTGGCAGTTTGCCTTAGCAGCTTCAGAGGCAAAAGAAAGCCCTTCAATGTGAAATGGACTAGGTTCCTGTCAGTGTTACCTTAATTAGCTGAGTTCGTTAACTTGCTCTTTAACACTTCTTACAAACATGGACACTATGGAAAAAGGTGGTCAGGAAAAGGTAGCTTCTTCAGGCTACCTCTCTGCAAAGCAGGGAGGAGGAAAAAACAGGTCAGGAATTGAACAATAGTATTAACTGTTTGTAATGGTAAACATATGACTGACAGTCATCATGAATATGGTAAATGTGGGCATTGATTGAAAATTCCTTTTTCATCTCTGTTGTAACTGAACATTGCAATCTGAGGTGGTTGCTAAATGAGAACTAACTGTATATTCTATGAATTATATGCACTATTTTTATAATGTTCTAGAAACAGAACAATCCCGCTCTCCTTAAAATGTAGTAGTTTTCCTCCAGCCTAATTCTACCCAGACTGCTGCCCCAAATGTACTAGCCCTACAGTGCTGAGAGTGCTAATCTCTGCATGTCCAGTGAGCACCAATTTGAAGGAAGACTGCTGGAACCTAAGAATCATATTTAGGTTGTTGTTGTTTTTTTACAATTCCACTGGCTGAATATATACCACATGCTAATCTGATTGAGAAATTTGTGGTTCAGCATGCTGTGGAATTCTAGATATTGAATTAACATGTTAGGCCAACCAGACCATCACATGATATAATAATATGATTTGGCAGGGAAAGCCTACTATATTAACAGTCATGGTGTTTTGTTAATTTGGATATAATACAATGTGTTGCCTGAGTTCAGTTTTTAAGTATCCAAGTTAAATGAGAACCATATATATATATTACTTTAAGATTCAGTTCATAAAGGAGAACATATCCTTTCCTAACTAATTGTTTATTGATCCCTAGATATCTATGATGTTGTGTCCCAAGATCTCAGCTGCTTAGAAATTTTATGCGACACAGAGGTATTGATCATAAGTGGTCTCTATACAATTTATTGGAACCTATTTTCATTTTAGTTTACCTATCTCCTTTCCCATTCCAGTCTCTCACAGTTAAATAAAAATGGAGGTGGTTTATTGTGCAGTGGTGCTGCAGAAATACTCTGGACAAGTGGTTTGAGGTTTGTGATAATTTTTTTTTCTCTTTTTTTAAAGTTTAGAGAAGACTTCTTAAAACTGTTTCAAGAATCTCTGCAGACAATTTCCAGTGTTGGCCCACCTACTATTCTAGCTTATAGACCAGAGTCATCAAGAGCAGATATTCACATTGAGGTAATGGCTCTACCCACCTGTCTCCTATGCGTTACTTTGCACTGTAAATTTATAACTTCTTATTCTTTACTGAAATGGGCAACGCTGTTTACCATTTCCCTTTCCTCCTGGATAGGGAAGAGCACTTTGGAGAAGGAGGGTGAAGCAGAGGGTTAGGAGAGATTTTAAGGAGACTAACTGTTTCTTCCATTTTCACTGGTATTCTGCTCAAAGTCCCAGTTTCCCATAGATACTTCTGCTGAGGAAAGAATCATTCAAATATATCCTATGTTCAGTTTACCTTGGAAGATTAAACTTTATGTTTTCTGAAGAAAGAAATACTTACCAGTACATGCTTCTACAAGTTTACCACTTCAGAATAAAATTGC